CGTTAATTTTACCAAAAACTACAATTTTGACAGTTCGGTACAACTTTTTGAAAGCAAATATTATTTTTTCAAAATCTGATATAACTAAAAGGGTGTGCCATGTAAAGGCGCACAGAATCTTGAGCTCAGACTTTTTAATTTCGATTTCATTTTCGGGCAATTTTGATTTAAAGGTGAAACCAGCGGCTACCAGGCAGGATACGCCCACATTTTCGAGAGATGGATAGAGAACAAGCTAAAAAGAAAGCGATTTTTCGTATAATCAGGGGCCATAATTCAGGAAGTTACGGTCCGATATGCTCGAATATCGAAAGGAACCCAGATCTTTGGGTTATAAACTTACATTTCAAGTTTCAACAAAATCGGATAAAAATTGTAACCTCTATAGGGTCCACAACATTGATATACCATATTTTTACGCTATTTGAGAACAAACGGCGGCCATTTTGTCTGTCAATTTTGGGCCGATTTTCATGAAATTCGAACTCATTCCTCCTTAGGGTGTAACGTTGACATAATAATACGATTTTTTAAATCGGATAAAAATTATGACCTCTATAGGGTCCACAAGCTAAAAACGCGATTTTTCGTACAATCAGGAGTCATAATTCAGGAAGTTATGGTCCGATATGTGCGAATATCGAAAGGATCCGAGATCTTTGGGTTATAAACTTACATTTCAAGTTTCAACAAAATCGGATAAAAATTGTGACCTCTATAGGGTCCACAACCTTGATATACCATATTTTTACGCTATTTGAGAACAAAAGGCGGGCATTTTGTCTGTCAATTTTGGGCCGATTTTCAAGAAATTCGAACTCAGCCATCCTTAGGGTGTAACAGTGATATAATAACACTTTTTTTAAAATTGGATACGGTTCGATTTGCGCGAATATCGAAAGGAAAGGAGATCTTTGGGTTATAAACTTATATTTCAAGTTTCAACAAAATCGGATAAAAATTGTGACCTCTATAGGGTCCACAACTTTGATATACTATATTTTTACGCTCTTTGAGAACGAACGGCGGCCATTTTGTCTGTCAGTTTTGGGCCGATTTTTAAATCGGATAAAAATTATGACCTCTATAGGGTCCACAAGCTAACCAACGGCTGACAGGCAGGATACGCCCACATTTTCAAGAGATGGATAGAGAACAAGCTAACAAGAAAGTTATTTTTCATACAATCAAGGGCCATAATTCAGGAAATTACAATTCAATATGCGCGAATATTGAAAGGAACCGAGATCTTTGTGTTATAAACTTCAATTCTATAGGGTCCACAACCTTGATATACAATATTTTTACGCTATTTGAGAACGAACGGTGGCCAATCTGTCTGTCAATTTGGGCCGATTTTCACGAGATTCAAACTCAGTCGTCCTTAAGGAGTAACTGTGATATAATAGTACGTTTTTTTAAATTGGATAAAAATTATGACCTCTATAGGGTACACAAGCTAAAAACGCGATTTTTTGTACAATCAGGGGCCATAATTCAGGAAGTTACGGTCCAATATGTGCGAATATCGACAGGAACTGAGATCTTTGGGTTATAAACTTACATTTCAAGTTTCAACAAAATCGGATAAAAATTGTGACCTCTATAGGGTTCACAACCTTGATAGACCATATTTTTACACTATTTGAGAACGAACGGCGGCCATTTTGTCTGTCAATTTTGGGCCGATGTTCACAAAATTCGAACTCGGCCATCCTTAGGGTGTAACAGTGATATAATAATACGTTTTTTTTAAATCGGATGAAAATTGTGACCTCTATAGGTTCCACAAGTTAAAAACGCGATTTTTCGTACAATCAGGGGCCATAATTCAGGAAGTTACGGTACGATATGCGCGGATAAATCGGATAAAAATTGTGACCTCTATAGGGCCCACAACCTTGATATACCATATTTTTACGCTATTTGAGACCGAACGGCGGCCATTTTGTCTGTCAGTTTTGGGCCGATTTTCACGAAATTCGAACTCAGCCGTCCTTAGAATTTAACGGTGATATAATAGTATGGTTTATTAAATCGGATGAAAATTATGACCTCTATAGGGTCCACAAGCTAAGAACGCGATTTGTCGTACAATCAGGGGCCATAATTCAGAAGTTAAGGTCCGATATGCGCGAATATCGAAAGGAACCTAGATCTTTGGGATATAAACTTACATTTCAAGTTTCAACAAAATTGGTTAAAAATTGTGACCTCTTTAGGGCCCACAACCTTGATATACCATATTTTTACGCTATTTGAGAACGAACGGCAGCCATTTTGTCTAACAGTTTTGGGCCGATTTTCATGAAATTCGAACTCAGCCGTCCTTAGGGTTTAACAGTGATATAAAATTATGACCTGTATAGGGTCCACAAGCTAAAAACGCGATTTTTCGTACAATCATGGGCCATAATTCAGGAAGTTACGTTACGATATGCGTGAATATCGAAAGGGACCAAGATCTTTGGGTTATAATCATACATTTCAAGTTTAAACTAAATCAGATAAAAATTGTGACCTCTACAGTGTTCACAAGCTAAAAAAGTGATTTTTCGTACAATCAGGGGCCATAATCCATGAAGTTACAGTCCCATACATGCCAATATCGAAAGGAACCGAGATCTTAGGGTGATAAACCTATATTTCAAGTTTCATTGAAATCGGATAAAAATTGTGACCTGTAGACTGTTCACAAACAATTTTTGACGGACGTCCGGACGGATGGACAGGGACGACGACAATATACGTCCACATAAAAATGTGGCCGTATAAAAACGTGATTTTTCGTACAATCAGGAGCCATAATTCAGGAAGTTACGGTCCGATATGCGCGAAAATCGAAAGGAACCGAGGGGATCGTTTGGTTATCAACTTACATTTCAAGTTTCAACAAAATCGGATAAAAATTGTGACCTCTATCGTGTCCACAAGCTAAAAACGTGATTTTTCGTACAAACAGGGGTCATAATCCATGAAGTTTCGGTCCGATACATGCCAATATAGAAAGCAGCCGAAATCTTTTGGAGATAAACCTATATTTCAAGTTTCGTCAAAATCGGATAAGAATTGTGATCTGTAGAGTGTCCACAAACAAATTGTGGTCGGACGGATGTCCGGACAGACAGAGGCGATGACAATATACGTCCACATGAAAATGTGGGCGTATAAAAAGGTGTAAAATTAAGCTATTTACAACCCCATTCAGCGCCTTCATATCTTAAAATATTTCTTTGTAACTTTCATAAACTTGTAGCAAAAATCCATACGAAGAGAATGTATGCGAAAATTAGTTTGTAATATGAGTAGCTGCCGAGAAATAGGCAATTTTGCATGCATCACTTTTCCCGCTTTTTTGCCTGTAAAAGAATCAATTATTATTTTATTTTCAATATTTTTTTTAACATTTGATGCCTAATGCCAATCTGGACTAGGTCAAACTAATTTAAAATTTTCACTGTCACCAGAAATGATGTCATTTTGGCAAAAACTGTATTTTTAGCCTTAAAAATACATATTTTATTCAAATGAGTATTATTTGTAATATTTTTAATATTATGATATTTGGTTCCCGTCAACAAATAGAATGAACCCATACAATCATACAGATACCACAAAATGGTTTCTAACTTGTACAGTTGCAGACAAATAGACGATTTTCCACAAGTCACTTTTCAACTTTTTGGTCTATAAAAGTGTCAGTTATTATTTGCTTTTTATGATTTCATAGAACGAATTTAACATTTTCAGTATCATCGGAAGTAATGTCATTTTGGCAAAAACTGTATTGTTAGCCTTCAAAACAAATATATTATTTAAATGAATCTGATTTGTAATGTTTTTAAAATTATGATATTTGATTCCAATCAATAAATAGAATGAACCCATACATTCATACGGATACCACACCAGCGGCTGCCAGGCAGGATACGCCCACATTTTCGAGAGATGGATAGAAAACAAGCTAAAACGAAAGTGATTTTTCCTACAATCAAGGGCCACAATTTAGGAAGTTACCTTCCGATATGCGCGAATATCGACAGGAACTGGGATCTTTGGGTTATAAACATACATTTCAAGTTTCATCAAAATCGGATAAAAATTGTGACCTCTATAGGGTCCACAACCTTGATATACCATATTTTTACGCTATTTGAGAACGAACAGCGGCCATTTTGTCTGTCAGTTTTGGGCCGATTTTCACAAAATTCGAACTCAGCCATCCTTAGGTGATATAATAATACGTTTTTTTTTTAAATCAGATAAAAATTATGACCTCTATAGGGTCCACAAGCTAAAAATGCGATTTTTCGTACAATCAGGCGCCATAATTCAGGAAGTTACGGTCCGATAAACTTACATTTCAAGTTTGAACAAAATCGGATAAAAATTGTGACCTCTATAGGGTCCACAACCTTGATATACCATATTTTTACGCTATTTGAGAATGAAGGGCGGCCATTTTGTCCTTCAGTTTTGGTCCGATTTTCACGAAATTCGAACTCAGTCGTCCTTGGGGTGCAACATTGATATAATAATACGGTTTTTTAAATCGGATAAAAATTATGACCTCTATATGGTCCACAAGCTAAAAACGCAATTTTTCGTACAATCAGGGGCCATAATTCAGGAAGTTACTTCCAATATGCGCGAATATCGAAATGAACCGAGATCTTTGGGTTATAAGCATACATTTCAAGTTTAAATCGGATAAAAAATTGTGACCTCTACAGTGTTCACAAGCTAAATACTTGATTTTTCGTACAATCAGGGGCCATAATCCATGAAGTTACAGTCCGATACATGCCAATATCGAAAGGAACTGAGATCTTAGGGTGATAAACCTATATTTGAAGTTTCGTTGAAATCGGATAAAAATTGTGACCTGTAAACTGTTCACAAACAATTGTAGACGGACGGACGGACAGGGGCGACGATAATATACGTCCACATGAAAATGTGGGCATATAAAAAATAAACATCAAATACAAAGACTTCTTTATTTTACAGGAACACAGGAAATATATTGAGTCATTCCATTCCAGTAAAAAGTTCCAGGTAATTACAACCAATACAGACCTGCAATTGTAGTTCAAACTAGGCCTAGTAGTTATGATTTTCAAGTTCGTCTGGGCGGCCGAATGGTTAAGGATCAGAAATGAAATGGGCGGTTAACATCCTACTGATGAAGTCCAGCATATGCCATACAGTGTGCTATGAGGGAAATTTTGCCTGAGCAGCAGCACTATGGCCTACTCTCTTGCGTTGAATTAGACTGTCATTGAGTCCAGTTGTGTGATTGCACTAAAAACCTATGCATAAGCGAATTATTGAAATAAAATTGAACCATGTATTTTAAGTCCTAGTTAGACCTAGTTTGTGTTAAGTGGACATTAAACCCTCTTTTTTCACATTCCTTCTTTAAAAAGTACTCTTTTAAATTTAATGAAAGATGTTCCACACCAACAATAATAATTTATTTGACATTATTTTGCAGTCCACTGGTTTACCATGTAAAAGGTTTGTTGGTAGCAGTTAATTTTAATTTGCATACAAATCGAGAACCACTAAAAGGAGCTGACAGAAACATTATGTTAGTTTTCCCCTTACTTATGTAATAACATTCAACAATATCTAATAAATGATCCGTCCCACAATCATATAAGAAACTAATTGGTCAATTTTAACCATGGATCAAATTTGTTTATAATATACGAGAAAACGTCAAATTATTGTGTCTCATCTCGGTACAATCAAACTGTGATTTTGGAGCTGGCTCACGAACCTTGGGGTCCAAGAAAGTTTTTCTACATTATCAATCCTGGTTTTCTAAGATCAGCAATAAAAGAGGGGGGTGGGGGATGTGTATACCATTAGCAGCATGATAAGTTCTCTTGACAATTGAAATTTGTGCAGTTCGGACAATTTCCCTCATATAACACTGCATGACATATGCCCATTTCCATTAACCTTTTTAATTTGTTTATTTTTCAGATATGTTTATTATCGTGACAGCAATAACAATGACAATCGAGGCTACAGTCATTTTTAAACTGAGGTTTTCTCGGCTTATAGTGAAGCAATTTAACTGAAATTCTCAGCATATTCCATTTACATCATCTAGTTATAATTATTATAGTGAGAACTGCTAGCTCTTTATCTAATCTTCCATAATGTAACTTTAACTAATAGAAAAGCATGTTTTGTTTGATAATTTGGGTAGGTCTTTTGAACAGTGCTTCTTCATTCATTGTTATGCCCATTTGTCAGGATACCCCCTTTTTACTTTGCAGACTATACAGTTTGATGTAACTTATGTGATTATCTCTTCCAAGTCGACCGTGCCTCCAAAACCGATGGTAGACAGCATGGCAAAACCTTTTCTGTTCGTCGTCATCTGGCACCCTAACAAAATGTCATCTCTTGTTTGTAATGCGATCTAAACCCCCTCATCTAAACAATACTCATCAATTTCCTGAAAGTAAAATGTTAAAATATGTAAAAATGTATTATAGTTTTATATAACTATTAGTTGTTTATTCTCAAATTTTTTTTTTTTTGTATTTTTTAAACAGAGTTTGTCTTGAATGTAAATTCTAAGAGTCTCTGAGTAAACAGTTGTTTATGTGATAATTATTTGGTTGTCATCAAATCACAAGTAAGCATAAAGACATAGTGAAATCACAGATATTCAAACTATAAAAGTTAACACTGCATGAAGTTTTAGATTTTATACTTGATATCTACTTACTGGTCTTATAGATTTTTTGTCGCTGGTGGTGTAGACGTGAATTGTGTGTCTCTAGCTGCAATAATCAAACAGTCGCAAATTTCAAGCCTGGTTAAATTGTCTCTCTATTATGACAGCCAACAATTCCAATCTTTTTTTATCATCCAGCTGTGATATTAACATCTGTAAATATTAGATGTAATCTTGATGTAATGAAATATTTTTGTTTTGTAATTATATAATAAATAAGCTCACATGAAAGCCAAAGAATTGAAAAGATTTTGTTTTTATAGATATTTGCCTGCCATAAAAAATGTAAATGATATGACTTGTCATTCTGGGTTTGTAACAGGAGCTACACTACCCTTCATCTACAATAAGCATAATACAGCATAAGTAGGCCTGCAGCCAAAATTTCTAGCTTGCTTATTAGAAACACAATTCCGCTACATGGTCCTTCCAAATAAACAAACTATACATTTTTGGAAAGCTTATAACACCAGGAACGTAAATCCAGAGAGTTCCAAGCAAAAAGTCTGCACTAACTCGATTTAGGGCCAGATGAAAATTGTAATAATTGTCAAGTAAATGCTATATTTATACTAATAATTGTGAAGATGACATAAAATTAAATATTGGTGAAAACACCCGATGCTTTCATCCCGTACAAAGAATATGCTATTGGTTAAATTTTGATTTAAACCAAAATGCACAAAACATAATGGACAAGGAAACATACAGAATTTTGGATATCCATTAACGGTAATAGAGAGTTATCTCCCTTTCTGTCAAATGTCTGCAAGTGGTAACAGTATTTCAGGTGCGTGTTGACGCACAAGACCATGTGTGAGCACACAAGCCCATTATTTATATCATTTATGGGGTCACAGGGGACTGCAAGGGTTGGTGAGCGAGTGTTTACCCAGAAATTATGGGAGGAGCGCCTAATCAGATAAGCAAGGAGATATGTTTGACAGTGGTTGAGCAATATGTCTATGAAGTAAGGGAGACCAGACTATGTCGGTAGTTTTGTAAATCGCATTCAAACCACGTGATTTTTTCCACTAAAACATAAACTCACACCAACATAACCTTTCAGTTAGACCCTACGTTATTTTTACTACAGCTAGCTGTAAACCTCTAGTTCAGATATTTAAGGTCGAATTACAAACACTTAAACTGAAACGATATCTATAATTGTTTAATTTGCTAACAAATATAGATTTAAGACAAAAATTATTTATTGAAGTAAAACAGTCATTGAAAATCAAAATTATGCAGCTACCCTGCACTTTAAATGTCATCAAAGTTAGTTGTTATCATCATCACTCTCACTACATGTATAAACATCAAGTTGGGTTTCTTCAACAGTCTTTTTGTTTCATTTTCACATTTACTACATTTAAATATGTACATGTATCCCCCTGGAGTTGGCTGGAAGGACAATGCCCAGTCGTTTGGATGGGAAGGAAAACAATGGTTGAAACAACATGGGTGTAGGGGGCTAATCTCAGTTGGGTGTGTTGGGGGGGCTGAGCTTATTTGCCTGAAAATTTGTCACCCAAATATTCTGAATAAATCAATCATTAACTGAAATGAATTTGAAGCTTGTGCCTGAAAAACTCAAATACATTGCCCGAAAAATGGACGGTTCAACCAATCTGGGAGGGCGGGCGGGCGAGCATATAAGCTGTCCCAAAACAGTATTTCTACTAATATATATTTAAACTTTTAGTTCAGATTAGATTTGGGGCTAAATTCCGAACAAATATTTGAATTGAAACAAAGCATCTATATGTAATTTTCTCACTAAAATAGATATATGGCAAAACCTAAATAATACTGTAAGGCAGTGGCAATTGTAATGAAGAGAAAAAAAACTAACCGTCTTTATGAAGATGTACATACACCCGCCATACATTATGCTATAGGGGGGGGGGGGATTTGGTCCAAACAGCAACGTTACAGTCTACTCTTTATTTCGAATTTAAAGTTCTTTTACGTGCATGTCAACGTGCGCACGGGACCTCAGTTTTATATTCCATCCGAATAACTAGATGCTGCCCATCACAGCCCCCCCCCCCTACTTCCTGCACAACTGACAAGGTGAAACAAAGCTGGAAAGTTTGGGGAACTATCTAGGTCAACACGGGGATCAAACCCCGGATCTCCTGATTAGTGAGCCACGGATAAGGGGGAACCACGCCAGACTAGGATCAAACCCTGGGCCGCCTGATAAGTGAGCCAGCCCTTTACTGAGTCACCGCGGCTCCCTTGCACACTGATAATGACACTTTGCATACTAGTTGTACACGTATAATGCTTCCCCCCCCCCCCCTCTGCATTTTGCTTTCAATCAAAATTTCACCAACAGCATATTCTTTGCATAGGATGAAGGCATCGGGTGTTTTTGCCAATATTTAATTTTATGTTAACTTCACAATTATTAGTATAAATATTGCATTTACTTGACAATTATCACAATTTTCATCTGGCCCTAAATCGAGTTAGTGCAGACTTTTTGCTTGGAACTCTCTGGATTTGTGTTCCTGGTGTTATAAGCTTTCCAAAAATGTATAGTTTGTTTATTTGGGAGGACCATGTAGGGGAACTTCACGCTAGAAATTTTGGCTGCAGGCCTAAAGGGTTGTAGTAAAGAAATTACTGTTATTTATACCTTCAATCCATCCATTCTCTGTGATCTCAACCTTGCCACCCTTTTTTCTGTGGTCTCGGTGACATCTCTTGGATGCCTTGAGACAACACATCTGTGCACAGTTTTCCTACGTTTTGATGGAAAGGAAGTGTTTGTAGATGGGTCAGTCGTAGCTTTTTCTGGTGTTGGCAAATCCAGCAAACTTTTAATATTATCAGAACTTGATAGTGGTGTAGGAATAGTGGAGGGTGAATCACTTGATATGTCACCTACTTGACATAAAAAGCATAAAATATCGATAGATTTTCCCACTCTTAATGTCTCTAAATAGCTTTTTCTAGACAATTCTGAAGAAAACAAAACATTCAAAACTTGTGAAAATATCAACAAAAAACATTCTAAGGATATTGTCATTTGGTTTATAAATTAGTCATAGATTTATTTCATTGAGTTTAAAACAAATACAGTAGAACTTGCTCGGGCGTGCACTCCTTATCAGCGAACACTTGCTTCAACGAGCACCAAAAAATACCCCCCCCCCCCCCCGAGTGATTTTTAAGTAATTTAACCCCTACTAAACACGCACCTGTTCAACGCGTGCCACGGGCATCACGATTAATTCCCCCCGTAAAAATTCTACTATTTCAACGGTCACTCCTCTAACGCGGCCAGCGGTCACTATTTTACTAATAAATTCAACAAAACATCGCCCATTCAACGGCCATTGTTGAATGATACCATCTTGTCGTTCTTTCTTTGTAACACTCCCGCTAATACCGTGAGTAGTAGTTAATTAACTGGACCTCCACTGATAAGGTAAAAAGAAATGCAAAAATAACAATCAACCCGGGATTATCTGTTTATTAATCTTTTGTTTTATTAAACGACTAACCTGATCATTGTTTTCACACGTAACAACAAATTATTTGATACTGATTGAATAAAATGAATGTACTGAGTTTTGTCACGATCATCTAGTATCTCTTTTCCATTGCCACTTTGTTGTTAAACAGACATTTTAGTGCCCCCTATAATATTACATACAGAGTAACACCCCCTGTAAATCGGTGATAAAATCAGCGATGGTTTTTTGTTCATGTGCTCTTTTGATAAAATAAAATTAATTCATCGATTTTCTCCACAAAAATCGGATAAATATTATCAAATGCTCACAAAGGTAGACAGTAGTATTGAAGGTTGGTACAAAATGACAAGTTTACAGAAGTTATGTTCTCGATTTGAGTAAAGAATTTTCGTTCGGTGCAAGATTCTGCGACGGTCAAATTTATCGATGCATGTATTGATGTTCGCTCCCAATGCACCCAAGCGTAGTTAATTTATGTCAGCACAAAAAGCACTGAGATTTTATTAAGTGGTCGCGTAAATGCTAAAATAGTTGGGGTGGGGAATACTCAAATTCATGGCATTTTGAAATGCTTTTAGACGCTATGATTCAGTATGATGAAAGAAAAAGAAATATTGGGGGGCCAGAGATCCAGTATTACTAAACAAACATGTATACGCGACTACTTTGAATTCACAACTAGATAAAAAGTACATGTATTGTTATTGTTATACTACTTGAATAAAAAATATTTGCAATCTATATCTTTATTTTTTGTGGTAGGGGTTGGGGCGATATTGGATACCTCTAGTCAAAGAGCACCTCCATTAAGCAAGCAACTTTAAATTTCCCTTGGGTGCTAGCTTAATACAAGTTCTACTGTATACACATTGCAGTACATAATTACTTTCAACAAAAAAATATTCTTTATTGTTTGGTAGTTTTTAGTTTGGTCAAAAAATTTCATAAAGAATGAAGACATACTTGTATCACAAGTCCTGTGTGTCCACTGATCACTCTTGCTACAAGCCATTGCTGTTGGTTGTTCTTCACTGCCCTACTCTAAATACAGTTTACACACTTCTCAACCATTTTGAATGACAGTTTTTCAATTGACAAAAATTACCAGCCATTCCTTTTATAAATAGGGGGCTACCTACTATCACTTTAAGCCATTCTATCTTCCAAATTTCAAAGAATCCATTCTGTATTTTAGTATACAATGTGTCAGGTGAAGTCAAGCCATTTAGTAATAGTAGGCCTATCTATTTGATCACACAAAAATATAACAACAACAACCCATCCTATAATTCCACGGCATATACAAATGGTGTTAAGTTGTGGTTATGTCTATAATATCCATATTTAGCACATAAATGTCGAATACAATATAAAAAGATAGGTTGCCAGGCAACAAAACATACGCCCACAGCAGCTAAATCGTCCGAGCGGTCGTCAAGCGTTGTCGCATATTTATTCCTTTGTAGGTAATTGGGGGTATTTACAAGACAGTTCCATACTAGATCAGATTATAAATTTTGTCGTTTGAGGGTTTACAAGGTTCTACAAACTGAAACAAGGGTCTCAACTCTGGAAGTAATCTACAGAAATTGTTGAAATTTGACAGGCTTTTTCGTTTCGTTTTACTAATTTAAATAATGCATACAGATCACATGATCACTTTGTCATTCAAACATTCACAATCGCCATAACTCTAGAAATTATTGATGGAAATTGCTGAAATTCAATAGACCTGTTTCACAAATTTAAATGATGGATATAAATTTCATACATATCGGATGATAACTTTCATCAATCGAGCATTAACAAGGTTTAACAAAGTGAAACAAGGGCAATAACTCTAGAAGTAATTATTGTAAATTGCTGAAATTCAATATGCTTTCTCGTTTCACTAATTTAAATCATGCATATAAATTTCACAAAGATCAGGTGATAACTTTTTGCGTTAGAGCGTTCACAAGGATCAATGAAGTGAAAAGGGGGCCATAACTCTAGACGTAATCAACGGAAATTGCTCTGTTTCACTAATCTAAATAATGCATATAAATTTCACAAAGATCGAATGATAACTTTTGGCATTAGAGCATTCACAAGGTTCAACAAAGTGAAACAAGGGCCATAACTCTAGACGTAATAAACAGAAATTATTGAAATTAAATAGGCGTTCACAAGGATCAATAAAGTGAAACAAGGGCCATAACTCTAGACGTAATAAACGAAAATTGCTGAAATTCAATAGGCTTCTTCATCTCACTAGTTATAGGCTTCTCTGTTTCACTAATCTAAATAATGCATATAAATTTCACAAAGATCGAATGATAACTTTTGGCATTAGAGCATTCACAAGGTTCAACAAAGTGAAACAAGGACCATAACTCTAGACGTAATAAACGAAAATTACTGAACTTCAATAGGATTCTTCATCTCACTAGTTTAAATAATGCATGTAATTTTCAGAAAGATCGGATGATAACTTTTGACGTTAGAGCGTTCACAAGGATCAATAAAGTGAAACAAGAGCCATAACTCTAGACGTAATAAACGGAAATTGCTGAAATTCAATAGGCTTCTTCGTTTCAGTAATCTAAATAATGCATTTAAATTTCAGAAAGATCGGATGATAACTTTTGACGTTAGAGCGTTCACAAGGATCAATATGGTGAAACAAGGGCCATAAATCTAGACGTAATAAACGGGAATTGCAGAAATTCAATAGGCTTCTTCGTTTCAGCAATCTAAATAATGCATATAAATTTCACAAAGATCGGATGATAACTTTTGACGTTAGAGCGTTCACAAGGATCAATAGAGTGAAACAAGGGCCATAACTATAAACTGAAATTGCTGAAATTCAATAGGCTTCTTCGTTTCAGTAATCTAAATAATGCATATAAATTTCAGAAAGATCGGATGATAATTTTTGGCATTAGAGCATTCACAAGGTTCAACAAAGTGAAACAAGGGCCATAACTCTAGACGTAATAAACGGTAATTATTGAAATTAAATAGGCTTCTTCATCATCTCACTAATGTTAACAACATATATCAATTTTAAAACAATTGGATGATAACTTTTGGCGTTAGAGCGTTTACAAGAAATTGTGGACGATGGACGGACCGACAGACTGGGGCGACGGCAATATATTCCACATTTCAACGTGGGCGTATAAAAACGATCAAACGTAATCAACACAGAGCCATGAATGGCTAAGACTCACTGTCACCAGACTAGAATAAACAAACTGAAAGTAACACGGAAATGTCACTGCGCACGCGCTGCACATAGTCGTGTGTTATCCAGGCACTTCTGTATACTATAATGCAAACAGGACACAAGTCTTCAAACATGGAGCGATACCAACGATTGGAAGTTTTTTGAAAACGTATCACATGGCTTGAGGCAGTTGCTCGGATCTAAGTTAGAGGTTATTAAGGGTTCTTCACACAAAATTAAGCAGTTTTATTGTCCAAAATCCATCTGGGAATATCCCTTTAAAAATAATTGTTGGATTTTAAGTTTCGATACATTTTGGCATAGCCGGAGACAGGGCACATAGATATTCTACTTTTGATTTTCGGCATATCTTCGCAGATATTAGGCGCCAAATTTAGAAAATTTGAATTTTTACAAAAATCTTTTTTATTTATGAATATTTTTTGGTCGTGTTTTACACAGAATTAAACAGTCATCTGACTGGAGCAAAAATATGAATTTTTTTTTGTCTCAGTAATTTTCCTTGGCCGCCAATGGCCAATTCAGTTTTTCAGTCCTAGATTAATTATTTATTGTTCGATTTGTATATAAAATTCTCTTCGAAAAGAAAATTATTGGCCATTTTCCATTTAAGGCCTATAGATTATTTTTTAAAGATGATATGAGATTTCAAATAATCACCACTTGGATTAATTATTTGGAGTAAATAATGAGTTGTCGACAGCTTTATCATTGACACGTGACAGTTGATTAGTAATGACACGCACCCGCTTGTCGATTAATTTACATAATTAGCCACGTGGTTTCGATTAACACTCAAAGGCAATCTATATACGATCAGAATTAATTTTTTTCTGCCATTTATCAGAGTGAATGGCATGTAGGTACCCAAAAACATTATCGCCAAAACCAAATATTTATCGATAATGCCTTGCACGCAATATCTGGGCCAATCAGCAAACGAGTTGTGTAGACAGCATATGTAGCACCATAGGTCTTTTGTCTGACGTGGAGAGCGTCTATGGTAAACCGGTCGCCACATCCTACGTATGACCCATGCATCTTTTCTTACTACATATTTCTGTAGCCTTGTGATCGTCTAGGATTTGTCTCTAGCTGTCTTTACTTCTGCTTCACGTTGTGTATTTACTTCTTCCAGTTTCTTAAGATGTTTGTCTTACCAGGAATAATAATGCCTAGTTCGCTTCTACATTTTATATAGCATATAACTGAATACAGGTATACAAGCATAGCACAAATTACAATACTATATAGC